TTGGTTTTTTTTAATTTTTTTTTTAGAAAAGAAAGCAAGAATTTATTGGCTGCAGCAAAAATATACTTAGGACAGTGAAACAAGGAAGAGCATAGAAGGAGGAACAGGGGATGGGCTGCTCTGGCTCCCTGAGCAGTGGGAGAAAGAGAGAGACAGATGGGGGCGAGGGGAGGGAGAGAAGGGGAAAGGTTCGGGGACCTTGGAGACAGGTTCGGGGGTAAGCCCTGGATGAGCTACCGCTGCCCATTGCTCCCCTGGTTGCAAGTCTCATGGGGTCCCCTCGGAGGGGAGAAGATGGCGCTGGTGTGCTCCTCTGGTGGGGGTGGGGAGAGCGTGCAGCACTGGGTCCTTTGTCCTGAGTGTATTTATCTCTTTCTTGCAGGCGGGAAATCTTAGATGAGGTCTCAGGGGAGGGTCTCCATAGAATATTCATCACCTTCCCAGGGGTGCTCTTTCAGGGTCGTGGTCTCCACTGATTGGTCAGTGCCAAGGCAGGAGGTCATTAGTCAGTGTAGCTGTCCTGAGGCAGCCACTGTGCACCACTTGTCTGGTTTCGCTGCTTTTCTGGGCCTGGAGCTGAAATACAGCTGAGGCCTAGATGTTAATCTTTAGGGGAGGACGGCTCATTATAGTCAGTAATATTTTAATAACTATGTGTGGTATCAGATGGGTACTAGACTTATCAGGGGGGTCATTTTGTAAGTTACATAAGTGTCTAATCACTGTGTTGTACTCCTAAAATGAATATACTACTGTATGTCAGCTGTAATTGAAAAATAAAAAAGTTATTTAAAAAGTAAAGCAACATTTAAGTCTTGAACCAGAAGGTTAATGGCAGGAGAGGGAAGGGCAAAGTTGTGTCTCTATGATTTGTGAGTTATTATCTCATCCAAAGTTATTAGAACAAGCTAACGTGGTTTGAAACATCTCTGAGATAAGGAAAGTGCTGCTTTTATACATCTACCACTCCACCAACTGATAGCACAGCCCAAGCTCACTCCTTTGGGTGTCACGATCTGTTCATGACCTGGCTTGAAGTATGATGCACTTGATGACGAACGGACAAAATCTAGGCAGTTTGTGGGTAAATCAAAGATGGTTTCCAGGAATCTAGGTTAGGCAACCGAGTAGCTAGATGGTACTGTCATGATGAGATAACCCAGATAGGAGACAGTGCCAGCTGGGGAAGAAGATGCTCTGTCACTTTTTGACGTGTTCATGGGTTAGGGTTGTCTGTGAAGAGAGCACCGGTGGGCCATTGGATATCTGAGATGGTACCTCAGCTTTGGAGTGACCCAGCCTTCATTTTACTTGCTGTGTCTCAATTGCATTGATTAGGGGTTTTGTGTCTCTTTTATGAGCTCATAAAATATTAAATTTCAGGGCAAAGACACTGCATATTCCTAATCTGATCTCCCATTGCAGGTCTACACATCATTTATCCCTTTCCCGCCACAGCTTCCTGACCATAAACATGTTTCACTGAAATCACTGTGTTGGATTTTTTTTTTTAATGTTTTTATTGATTTTCGAGAGAGAGAGAAACATCGATGTGAGAGTGAAATATCAATTGGCTGCTTCTTGCTCGACCCCCTACTGGGGATCGAGCCCACGAGCTGGGCAACGTGCCCTGACCTGGAATCGAACCGGTGACTTTTTGGCACATGGGATGATGCTATACCAGCTGAGCCACACTGACCAGGGCTGCTGGCACTTTTTAAACTTCTGAGTTTAGGAATATTGAAACATACAGTATCCTCTAAATGGAGACCGCAATTGCCTCTGCAAATATGAGGAAGATGCTTGATGGACAGTGTTTCTCATTTCATTACCACACCAACGGAAATCATTGCGTTAATATGCTAACATGTTTCTATTTAATTATTTTTAAGTGTAATAACAATGTTCATTCATTTTATTTATAGCTCCAAAAGGAATTCTTCATTTGTCTCCTGATGTTTATCAAGAGATGGAAGCCAGCCGCCACAAAGTAATCTCTGGCACTACCCTAGGCTATTTGTCACCCAAAGATATGAACCAACCCTCCAGCTCTTTCTTCAGTATATCTCCCACCTCGAATAGTTCAGCCACAATTGCCAGGGAACTCCTTATGAATGGAACATCTCCTACGGCAGAAGCCATAGGGTTAAAAGGAAGCTCTCCTCCTCCCCCTTGTTCTGCAGTACAACCTTCAAAACAGCTGGAATATTTAGCAAGGATTCAAGGCTTCCAGGTATGAATTAAAAGCAAAAACAAAACCAAGAAAACAAAACAATTCATTAGCTCCAAATCCTTCATCTCTGTCCATCAGAAAGCTCATCCTTGCCTGCTAGTGTGACCCATATGCCACTTACATTGTCAGTTGTCAGGGGCCCAGGCGGCAGGATAGAGGTCCGCGCGCACACGCCTCGCCTTTCAGTTTTCATTCTCCCCGGTGATTCTTTGGCTGCCTGGCTTTCTTCCATTTTTCTTCCTCCTCTTCATTCTTGTTTTCTTTTTAAAAACAATTTTTTTCCCTCTATTCTGGAATCCAGTTGGCCTTGATTGGGTCCCCCTAACTCTTCTCTGTCTTCCACAAACAAAAATCCTGCCTTCATACATTTGGCAGTGGTACTGAGCTCTAGGTTCTCCCTCCCGCGACAGTAAGGTTGAGTTTTTCTATTGATACTTTTACAGCAGTTTTGAATTTAACATTCTATCCTAGTCACATTCAGGTTCCCGCATCCTAGAAGCCTGTGACCTTAGGGGCTAGTTAAACCTGGTGTTAGAACAGTAATGAAATGCTTCCTAGTTGTCTGAGGCATAACAGCATGTATTTGTTTTACTGGGTCATGGTTTGAACCGCCTGGGGTCGCACCTGCCTCGGATGGCACCTCCCATTCGGTTCCACTGGGCAGTCTGCAGCTGGCCATGGTCCCTTAACTGGTGGTGCATACGAATTTGGGCATAGAAACGTTTCTTCCTATTTATGTTTTGTTCCCTTTTAGAAAAAACAAAACAAAACATCCAACAATCCTTTATGGATATAATTTTTAAAAGCATTGTTAAGGCTAGGCAGAGGAAACCCTGTGTTCTGATTCCTCAGCTGCCTTACCGGCCTGTGACTGCTCAGCTGACCGCGCTTGTGTGGGGGAGTGTGGTGCTCCCCAGACGTCACTGTTTCCATCCCCTTTTCCATCCTAGTCTTATTCCTTAAGACCAAAAACTGTACTTTTCTTTAGACATGCTCTAGAAGATCTGTATTATGTAGTATGATCATGTATTTATACAAATTTTATAAGTTTAGATACCAACTAAGAAAGAAGATCATGTGTTTTGGGGGTGGGGGGGGATTTTTGCATGTTTCCCCTCCCCCCACTGGAAATGGATTCATTCACATCTATTGCCAGGTAGTCATTTGTGTTTTTAATTAGACTATTAATATGAAATTAAAGAAACTGTTACCAGTTATTGGTTCTGTAATCTGAAATTTTAAATGCTTAAAATTTTAGATTTTGGTTTTGTTTATTATAAGAATGACAATAAATCACCGTTCAAAATAAAAAGACCTTGATTCACACACTTAAAGTACCAGGAAAAAGCGAAGTACTTTTTAGTTCTGTGTATAATCTTCATAGGACAAACTAGAAGTAAACTCTCATGAAAAGAAATCCACTGCTTATTTACAAATCTAGTCATTTAGAAACGCCTGAGAGTAACTGCATTTTTTTTTTTATTTTTAGAAACGAAGCACAAATTGCATTCAAGCTCTGAGCTGACTTTTTGCTTGGAGATGTTATTATGGTAGATGTAATTTTGCTGCTTCAATTTTTTATTTGTATTTATTTCTTTATTCTTGGCAAATGAAAACAGTAATAATTTTAACATATCTTTAGTCAAAATGTAGCCTGTTTTTCCCATTATTGGTCTGACTGCTCCTTTTTTTAAAGCTTACATAGAGATAATATTCATTATTTATGGACAAGTTAAACGTTTCCAAATTTTCGTACTGTGACTTTTACATACTAATGAGTAGGACAGGCTTCTTTGGTCGAATGAGCTCCGTTTTGATGTGAAATATTGTCTCTCTGGTGGATTGCAACCTGCTGCTGAGCAGTGAGCAGAATCTTGGGCATTGGCTGTAGAGTCATGTGAGGTACATCCACATCTGCATGTCACAGTAGAAGGTCCTTTGTGGTTAAGAGTTTTAAAGCCTATTTCTTTATAGGTAACTTCCTCAGGTATATTTACCTGGTAGAAAAACACATAGATTGTTTCTATTTCTTAAATGTTTTAATTGGGCTGTAGCTTAGAAATTGTAGGGCTGGGTTGTTTAGCCCTTTAATTATATATGCTATTCTGTTATTTTTATTTCTGGAATTTAAAAACAATAAATCCTTTTACTGTGTTTCTAGGTTAGTATTTTTTATTTTGTTATTGTACACTGACTAGATACTGTTGCTTATTAAGTATTGTATAAACCCTTCCTTGGCCTTCTTTGCCCATTGAAATTTGATGTGACAGCTATATTGTATTACAAAGTAAAATTATAGTCGTGTACTGAAAATTTAAGTTGTTTTAACCTTTAATTTTTTTCCATTATTCAATCTTTAATTAAAATTTATAAATTACAAGAAGTTCATTTCCTCACCCGAATGTAGGTATTAAGCTCACATTCTTTTGCTTAAATCTATTCAAGAATTTAAATTATTATACAAGTAAAGTTATTAATAAAGCTGACTTCACAGAGCAGAATGTGACTGAACACTTGCATATTTTTGGTAATTCTTTTATTCTTGCTTGGACTCACCTAAAGTTTTTAGTCACATTTTAGAAGCAAACTTTTGGATTGTCATAAATGAACATTTGTTTCTTTGCAGTTTCATTGAGTGCGTTTTAATTATTCTCTTTTAAAACTTGAATGTTTTAAATGATTGTTTTATTATTTTTTAGAAAAAGGCCTTGTCATCAGTTCTGGGAACCTCAGACTTTATGTTTCAGTCAATATGCTTCTGTAACTTCTATGCATTTCATAAAAGCTCATTTGAAATTACAGTCATACCATAGTGTTTCAGGGCTTTTTGTTGTGTAATTTGATACTGTTTCATTATAATGCCAAAATGTTTCAAAATCATGTGGCTTTTTATTTAAAAAAATTTTTTTAAATTATTTTTAATATATATTGATTTCAGAGAGAGGAAGGGAGAGGGAGAGAGAGATACATCAGTGATGAGAGTGTCATTGATCGGCTGCCTCCTTCACAACCCCGACTGGGGATCGAGCCCGCCACCCGGGCATGTGCCCTGACCGGGAACCGAACTGCAATCTCCTGGATCCTAGGCTGATGCTCAACTGCTGAGCCACACCCGGCCAGGCTCATGTGACTTTTTAAAGAAAATATTATGGGAGAGACATTCTTGAAATGCTGTACATTTGAGCTGAAGTAGAATACTTTTTTGTTATGTTTTAATTTATATTATCCTAAGCTTTTATACCTTTAATATGATTTTCCATACTAATTATACTAGAAATATCTTTGTATAATTAAATATGAGCAGTTTTTATGTTTAAATGAGTCACTAGAAAATGATTAGATTAAAATGAAAATGAATTACTGTTGTTCCTCAGTATCGGCGGAAGATTGGTTCCAGGAGCCCTGCAGATACCAAAATCCGAGGACGCTCAGGTCGCGCACATACAGTGCTGTGGCATTTATAGGCTATGCACACCCTCCCGTGTACTTTGAGTCACCTCTGGGTTTCTTGTAACACCTAATACATGTAAATGTGTGTAAGTCGTCGTTACACTGTATTGTTTAGGGAATAAGACAAGAAAGCAGTTGGTGTGTGTTCAGCACAGGTGCAACCGTCATAGGCCTGACCACACAGCACACGTCAGCAACAACGTAGCCTTTATTCCTAATATTTACCATCTGCAGTTGGTTGAATCCACAGACCGGAGCCTGTGGATATGGAGAGCTGACTGCATTTTAATAAATTATTCTTTCCAGCGGATTTAATTTCAGTTTGCTGTTTCGCGCTCCTCCTTGTTTTCACCCCTTGGGCAGTGTTGCTCTTGAACCCTGCAGAGTAAAATGTGATAAACTAGGTTTGTTTTTCTCATGTAATGAATATAAAGAAGCACTTAGTTGGTGTCTCAGTTAAGCCATCATTAGTTTATTTTGCATATTTAAGGAGTGTTTTACAGAGGGGCTTTTCATTATGGTGAGTTTAGGTGCTGGTGCTATTTCCAGCAAGGTAAGAATGTCAGTAGGCTTTGAAACATCTACTTGAAAACTCTTTTTTCAAATGTAATTCAGACTCAATACATTTCAACTGGTATGTCCCCTTTTGGGAAGTTTAATGTGATTACAGCAGGCTTACTTTATAGCTACAGGCTCCAAATCCCCCAGGGGATGCAAACCATATATCACATAACTGTACTTCCATCAAAAGCAGTGGAATTACACACCAGAGCAACTCATTTTGCTAAAATTTCCAACTCCGTAGAGAAAAATGTTACATTTGAAGAAAGAAGTCCCGATGCACATAAAAACATACTGTACTGAGTAACAGAAATACTGGTAAGAGCAAGCAGGCCTGAGCAAAACAGTCCGTTATCACTGCATGAACTATTCGAGACTAACTCCGCCCCAAATCACTGTAGAACGTAATCATCGTGGAACGCAGGACAAAGACTGTGTACCTGAGCCTGGGCCCCAGCACATACATAATAAGACATAAGACATTTCAAAGAAAAAATCATATGCAAACCCGGAAAGCAGTTCCTGCCACAGTGACCTTGATGGATCTGAAACGAACCCCTGTGCGGCAGGAAAAAATTTCTGTCCTGTGACCTCCCCAAGTGGAGATCCCAGCAGCCTTTTCTGTGTCAGAAGAGATTTCAACTCAACATGACAATTCTAGTTGGAGTTATTTGAAAATCATCTTTGAAGGAAAATAAATTAGTTTCCATCTCAAGGTGAATTACATTTCCTTTTTCTACAAAGGGTTGGCAGTGAGGTGGCTTTTTCCTAGTGGCATGAGGTTAATTGTGGTACACACCTGGAGTCTTCGTCAGGCTAGTGTTTCTACACCTGGGCTCATTTTAGGTGGAGTTGAAATGATCTATTCCCCTCTTTCCAGCATTGGCTGTGTCGCATTTCTCTTTTTTTTTCATGAATAAAATGGCTTAGATGCATGGTTCTCTTCTCACCCGGGACAGCTCCTGAGACAGAGAACCGTATGTGGGACG